GTTCGAGAATATGCGTTTGTAGCGAGTTTCTAAAAAACAGATAGATTCTCTTCAAAGTGGCCCGCCCCTCTGTTTCCGATAGCTCCTTCCCTTTGAAGTGATAACTTTGTAATCGTTGCCATGATCCTTATAACTTTGGCTTGTTAGTAGCTTCTTTTTGCCTCGAAAAGATGACAGAGAGCTTAATAACAGCGTAATAAAAGGGGTTCGAAGAAAATATACTTTCATAACGGAAAGGCTGCTGCATCGCTCTGTCGCCGTCACGTTACAATCTTTGCTTTAATCATAAATTACATCGGATAATGCGAGATTACAGGCGACACTAATTGATTTATTCAAGCTACTTGGCATAACCAGGAATTTATCGCGACGTTCATCAGCTCGGTATCTACTTCCTGGACGTATTTGATAATCTTCGGATAGTTTATGCTCATATTCGTGCGACCAAGCGTCACCCTTCCACGACCCTTGACACGGCTGACACATTTCGCACGAGATACTTTGGCCAATCTCGCGATCGTAACCGTGGATCCTGGCGCGAATCCTGGAGCCAATAACCGAGATTGGCTTTCGTTTCGTCGCTGCTCAGCTTGGCCCGTAATCTTTAGCTGCTTCGTAAGACGCCCTGAAGATCCTCCTGAACGTTGACCGGCGATATCTTCCAAGGTTGGGCAATTGCGCCGCCCATCTTATATCTTCCCACTTCTTCTTTACCGCTTTTCTTCTCTTCCGTCTGAAAGGCGATACAATCCCACGATCCATATACTGCAGACACACTATCGCCACCTCGGTCACGTTACGGGGACAATATCTAATAAAATGCGGAGTGAAGTGGTCCCGAGCTTGCGTTGCGATCTTCTTTATATAAAGATTTCCCCTTGAATTTTCCTTGCCCTACCGCCGGCCGTCAATCGCAGAAGAAACGGAAGATTGCATAAACGGCGTTGCGACCGTCGTGATAAAAATGAAGTCACGTGTTCGGGATTATCATATAATCAAGAGTCTGATCCGGAGACAGAAAATCATTCTAGAGTTTTGCGTTAGTAGCATAGCGTGACGGTTATAACGTTTGACGAAATAATGTTCCCTCGGAATAGGATATATTATATGATTATCATAAAATTTACAGAGATATATATAATCAATCATATATAACTTTAAAGAATTTCATATTTCAAAAATTTTGATTAACATTACAGATTACACCATTGTGTTAAATTTTAGAATTATATTTATATTGTTTAAATTTGAGTTTTATTTATTAATATGAAATTATTTGTGTACCTAAGAGTTTTATTTGACTATTTAATGATAATTATATTGAACCAAACTAAACTTGCATTACCGTATTTGATTATTCCCAGATAATTTAGTAAGTATTAATATGAGCTGTATGCTCGTTATAGGTTGATAAGCGATTTCTAAACACGAGTTGATATGGGTCACGTTCTATAGCCTTGCCGACTGTTCCTAATCGAAAATTGATTGCAATCACAATATCATTATCTAACTGACCTTAATCGACGTAGATAACAATTCTCGTACGTGAGTTTCTTTTGTGTTCTCGTCTAATTCGCACGTTGATTCCGTGCATTGTAAATCCAAAATAGATCGCCTCGGACGTTCATCTTCGTTATCTACAGATTCATGTAAACAGGGTGCATGCGACAGCGTTTCGTGTTATCTGTAGTGATTGCTAGGCCGAGGGTTGTCGCTCACCGGCCGTAATAGATTCATTAGGGTAGGCACCACTGCCTATCCCCGGCGTATCGTCGCCCCTAACTCTGCATACACGTACCCTCTTTCATTTTCTGTCACTCGATCACTCATTCGCATGTAGTATCCGTTACTGACTCGTCTACACGTCCGATCGTGCCGTTATGCACAATAATTAGCCATTTATTCGTGCATTCGTCAGTAGATTTTTCATTATTAGCTGTATTTTACATACAGTTTATTTTTGTTTGCTGGATTTATTAATGCACGCATAAATGGCTAATTATTGTGCATAACGCCACAATAATTATATATATAAAATTTAATAAAGTGTGATGATAAAGTGAATAATTAATTAAGAAAGAAATCGGTCTCACATAACTATATTTTTATATTACTCTATAAATTTACTCAGATATGTCATTCATCAATTGCAGATAGCTGATTGAACTGTCCGGAATGTTTTACTCATCAATTTAAAAAAAAATTGTTTCCATCGCACGAGAGCGGACGTGGGCACTTTTTTCAACTACTGTATGTAATCCAGTCCAATTTAATCGAACTGCTCGATCATCAACCTTCTAGTCCCCTAGTTTCTCTTTCATGCAGTCGACCCTCGACAGGTATCTCGCAAATCAGATTATCGATCGTTAATCAATATCGCTGCAATTTGGCGACACGCCAGTACGTAGTGTGTTTTTATATATATATATATATACATATATATATATATATATATATATATATGTTTGTGTGCGCGTTCAATGGAAGGCCCGGCTGTGCTGTCCATTGCAGTTTTTCTCGCTTGCGAACGAATAATCGGTCTCGACGTGGGTGGTCGATACAATTGGTCGTATATAGGGCAGCCTTGAAACACAATTTTCGTATATTTCTCCACACATTACAAAAAGCAAAATAAATCACGTGTCGTCACATTCTGATTTTTTGAGAGAAGTTTTCACATTTCTCGTTCAACCATAGATTGTTTCAGATATTGCTACGGAACACAGTTGGTGTAATATCCTGCTTATTGCGGTATATTTTAATATGTTTATTTTCCCGAAATTTAATCCTACGTCTTGCCTGAGTTGCACGAACGAAGCAGATGCAAATACATATTCATGTTTCCTTCGATCTCACTTTCACGGGAAGTTTTCTTTATCATGTTTTTTGTTTCCCGAGGATTGGGTTCCCCTATCTCGGGCACGTTTCTCTGATATAATTTTATCGTGATATTACACCAACTGCGCAAACAATATTGCGTTTCCTCGTTAGCATTCTTCTCTGCCGCAACATCCGGTATTGTATTTTTACCATTAATCCTGCAGATTGGTGGTCGCTCTAATCCCGCGCATCGCACCGTTTTTGAATGTTTAAAAGTTTAATGGTGAAAAGTTTCGCCGAGAAAAGTCGGTAGAAAAGTAGCTTCAGGTGAAAAGAAAAGGTAATGGATCCTCACTCCCGTTTTTCATCCCCGCGAAGGGGATGGGTCATCAGTCGCCTTCCGCGATCCTGCCCTATTGTGAAAGTTTGAATACGTAGACAACGTCTGGTTTCGCGGGGACCATTTCTTTCGCAGCTTCTCGTATCCGGGGCTTCTTCGCCGTTTGTCACTCGCTGCCAAGAATGTGCCGCGGATTCGAAGGAAAGATAAAATGGAATCGCACGCGGTCCGTCCCCGTTTTACGGCGACAGGCGGATTGTGCGATAATTTGCCGAATTCATTGTCCAGGAATTAATTTCCCATTTCGCGCTTCGCGAATCCCCCAGCTGCCGCTCCTTTGTATTTGACCGTGGAAAATGAAGTTCAAGCCCTCTCGTGATAGTGAAATACGCCGGAAATTGGGGATATCCTGCCACGTTATGGATCCCACAGTGATTTTACCTAAATATCATACCGGAATATGCGGCAAATCCGCATTTCTAATGGACTTGTCGGTTTTTCTTCATTTATTTATGAATTTAACATGATATAATTTGTTTGACTGAATTCGTATATAATTTTCCGTATTGAGATTAATAAAACTTGAAATTATTAAAGTACATTCCGCCGTGTATGCACCAAGCAATTACAAAATATCTAGTACTAGCAGCATAGTAATATCTTTAATATAGAAAATATCACTTGGGAAATTTGAGTTAGCCGAGTATTAAATAAATCGTGGGTATTAATAAAGTTGGACGCATTAAATGGTGAGATAAATGTACAAAGGGTTATTCACCGTTAAATAATTACATGTACATTGTGTGCATACGCGTGCGCGATATGATTACTCACATTGTGTGAACGGAGATCGATCAAAAACAAATTACCCGGCGACATAGAGACGTACAACGACTGCCTATTGCACTCTAAGCGGTCGATATCCGCATCCTGATGCTGCGAGCCTTTGTGTCTGGTCCAGCGGTGCTGACTGGACGATGCAATGGACCAGAGCGGCTTCCGATAATAATTTTTTTTCTCTCGTTCGGCAAGTTCGTCTGTACATCCGCGGTGGTTCCTGTCAAAAGCAGCAACCAACATGGTTTATGGCGCATCTTCGTTCTTGCCGCCCTCGCAAGGAGGGAGGGAACGAGAAAGGATTTCGGTGGGGCCCTCTCCGGTCGAGCATAATGTGCCCATTATCTTCAGTCCTTTCGTCTATTTCGCATGTGTACCTTGGCTATATAATAATGTACCGGGTGTCCGCGTAATTTCGTGCCTCCTCCATGTGCTCGACCTTGCTTTCTCTCTCTTTCTCTCGTTGATGTCGCGAATGGCCGTGACACGATCGTAAAGTCTAAAGAGGCATTAGATGATGCTCGAACGGGTCGACGAATACGAAGAGGTTGAAAGAGGTGGTTGGTTGTGGGGTGGAGCAAGCATAGGACGTCAGGCAAGGAAGCCAAAGACCATTACGGTAATATCCCACGGACGGAGGAAGTGATTTTTAAGGAGATAAGGCTGCCATTTCAAGGCAATTTTGCTTTCCCTGTAAGCTTCGTTCTCTTTCTTCGACGGCCCGAGTCCCCTGCGCTTCCTTCCACAACAGAACGATTATGAAAATTTCGCGCCGTTTTCGGGGTTCTCGAAAGTGAGCTTTGTATGGCCAGGACATCTTTTTACGCGTAAATCTTCTGAATCTTTACGTTTACGATCGACGAATTCTTTGTCATCTCCTGACATATCTTGAAACCAAAATATTATTACATTGCACAAGAATTATATAAATTATAACTTGTTATAATTATTAGCACTTGTCTCAATAAAAATAACATTTCGTTCCATTTTTATCAATCTTCAGATCCTTCAGCATCCGGTTCGTCCTGCGAGGACGACGAGGACGGGCGAGTGATCGTTAAAAAACGAAAGAATAGCGTTTACGCTTCCTCGACCCGTGCCCCATCGGCAGACAGGGACACTTTAACTTCGACCGACGGCCTGCTCGTGGATTGTGTCGCTCTGGTGCATCTGACCGATCAATCCCCGACCGAGTCCGCTCAACCTGTGCGTCATCCGTCGCCGTATTACTACGGCGATCTTTTCAAGGTACCGGAGCAACTGTCCAAATCGCAGCCGAGCAAGTACCGGAAGAGCGTCAGTCTCGATGTACCGGGCGAGCGTTCGCGCACACCCGGTATACCCAAGAGGAACTCGGTAGCGGGTGATGGAGGCTCGTATTCGTCCCAGCCACGGCATTATCAGCAACTGCAGCAGCCGTATCCACCGCCGCTGCCACCGCCGCACTATCGCAGTCAAGATCTAGTAAGCCCCACGTCGGGGAGCGAGCATGTGGTTCCAGCCAGAAACGAGATCCTCTCGTCGTGTATCATCACCGAGTGGGATCACACCCTCATGCCTCCGCATAGGCTGCTGAGCCATGATCTGCCTACCACCGTTTGTACCTGCGTCGCATCGCCCGAAGAGGAGGAGGATGAGCTAGACCGACGGCAGCCGCAAGTAACGCGGCACCAAGTGCGCAAGCTACGACGTACACGGAGGATAGACCCGCAGCCGATACTCGTCGAGGACGAGGACGACGTGGAGGGTGAGGACGAGGGGGAGGAGGGAGACGAGGAAGACGCGGAGCCCGAGGAAGAGGACGAAGAAGGGATGGCCAGGCAACGTCACCTCTACGAGACGGCCTTCGACTGCAAGGTCAATCGCTCTGACGATGATCTCGACGATCTCGATCGCGTCACCAATCACGCGGTACTGCATTCCCAGGTACGTACATTCGAAGATTTCAAATTGCTATCAATACTTCGATATTGAGTTAAATGCGCGGTCGTGAAATTTTTCTTTGCAAACTGTCTTGTTCTTGCTTCTTTTCTATTTAATGCCAATTAATTTCTATCTTTTTCTTTAAGTTTCGTTAAACTGCACTTTATTCAGCATACAAGTGAACTATATAAATGCCGTTATTATTCCATTTGTAAAAAGCAAGTTTTGGATAAAATAAAATAAAATACAGATACGGAGTAGCGGTACTGTGCCAGTGAGTAGAACGAGTTCGTCAACGGACACGTCAAAGCAGCAACATCAACAATCGCTACCTTACACCGGCCAGTCGCAATCGAGCAAGGACCATCGACGCAAAGTCGTACTTCTCCGCCCAAAACCGATTCCGAGCCGCTTGCAGCAGCAGCAGCAGCAGCAACAGCAGCAACAGCAACAACAACCATCGCAACAACAGTCAGACAATATATCTACTCTGTCCCAAGATATCGAGTCCCTCCAGATCAATTCGAGCGATGAGAAAACCGGATCGCCGAGACTACCAGCACGTGATTACACGCCGTCACCGCCGTCGACTGCACCTCTACCCGCGAAATTTCATGGAAACCGAGACCACTTGCTGTTGAATATTCGCAGCGCGCCGAATTTACCTTCGCAGCAGGATCATCCCCGCTTGAAAGACATGAGATTACCGGTGAAATCGTTGTTGCGCGCTAAGGACTCGCCGCAGAGTAGCGAGGGTAGCATTCTGGAAATCAAGAGCCGACCGAAGACCTTCGTCCAGGAGAACATCGATTCTTCGCAGGGTCGTCGATTCGACAAGGAGCTCATATTGGAGTTCAAGGACAGGCCCCGGGAGGAGAGGCAACGACCGCGCAGTCTGATCCGCGAGAGCAGGCCGATAATGGAGTTCAAAGGCAGGCCCCACGAAGCGGAGGGCGATCTCGCGCGACCGCGAAGAGACGCCGGTCTCTTGGAATTCAAGCTACGTACTTCGAGACGTCGCGCCGGTTATTCCAGCACGGAGAGCATGGCAACTAGCAGCAGCGGTGGCAGCATGGAATCCATCAGGAGTAGCACCAGCGAGGGCAACCGGTCGACCAGCAGTTCCGACAGTCGGCACAGCACCAGATCGTTGAGCTCCCACAGTTCCGACAGCGGCGGCACCAATTGCTACCATCATCATCATCATCAACAGTCTTTGCCTGGCTTTCTAAATCACCACGCTACTAAATTGCATATCCTCTCACCGATCTCCGACAAATCGTCGCAGGAGCCGGCCTCGGAGACCTCCGACAACAATCGTAACAACAACTCGCAGAAGGCCTCGCCCGAGGAGAACGTCACCGCAGAGAATAACATCACCGCAGGCAACAACACCAATACGAATACAGTCACCTCGCCCATGGACACGTCTTTTAAGAAGCGGCGAACGCCGCAGAACAAGAATCTTATTAATCTTGCGCTGCAATCGTCGTCGTCGGGCGACGCGGAGATCCAGGGATCGGATAGCGGTATATCCATCGAGTCCCGCGCTGGTATCAAATGCAAGCCTTTCGGGTTTCACCTGTTGAAGCCGCAGCTTGATAATATTAATTTCGTCGACAACGAGCCGGAACTCTCGGATCTGCCCTTCGATATGCCAAAGCTGCGAAGAAGGCGGCTGCTGATGCAACAGGATGCCACTACATCCGGAAGCGCGACCAGTGTGGACCTAAGAGATTTACCCTTCGACATGCCGAAGCTCAGGAAGCGTCTTAGATGTACTCAGAATATCGAATCCAGCGCGTCTCAAGCGTCGTCGAGTCTCTCGGTACGCGACGTAGAGCCACCTTCTTTGTTTGGTAAGTTATCGTTGCTTTACATATCTTTACATTTCGCGTTGTAGCATTAAAAATAAAAATTTCACCACATGTTAGTAATAAATAAACAAATATAGCGTAATTAAAAATGTATAATCACCGTTAATACGATTATACTCATCTTTAAATATTTTTTTCCATATTTAATTTTCAATGAAGATAATTAACGTAAATGGGAAGCAAGGAAATCCATTCATCTTTTTTCTTAATCAAGTGTCTAGCCATTAAATCGATAAAAACCATACTTTCGGCACCTCGAGGTAAGCTAAGTACTCATCAGGGCAGAGGGGCAGAGGGTAATTTGATGCTGATCGTTATGAACCTTCCAGACAACAGCTAACATCGTTAAGCTTCACTTAGTTGCTCCCACCAGCTGGATATTCACTACAAACACTCGCCTCTTTGTCAACCATGTATTAATGCCGCATATATCTATCCTTTAGTACATTGAATACATATACTATAATATATTGAGCTACAATATATACGAAGCTTCTCCAATATTTATGTAGATATAGATAGATATCGGCATTTATATAATAACCCATAGCTATAATTAAGGAACGAGCAGCAATTACGGACCGATGTTTGACAACTACAATTTATCAAGTGGTATTGTAGCAGCTGGCAATTTGTAATTTAGATCACATTAATAGCAGAATCATAGGACATCAATAATTTATCACCAGCGAGTGAATCTAGCTCAATGCGTGTGCGATGCAAGTGCATCGCGAAACACTCGGAATTAGTCGGGTGATTAAGCCGCCGCCGCCACTGTTGCCGTCGCATCGGGCACCCTCTCCTATTATCCCCCGAAGCTGTATCGTCCGACCTGATGGGACTTTGAACGCGCGTCGTCTACCCTCCGAGTTCCCAAATTGCGAAAGCTCTAATGCGAGAGCTACGAGAACGAGGCTCTCTCGCGCTGCGCGCACCGCCTACGGCCGAGGGAGCCGCAACCTGCGGTGATGCCGATCCGCGGGGGACGACGGTAAATGCTGTTACACGAGGGATAGGCGCGTGGGTTTACGTGCGCTGATGTATAGACCTACCGGGAGTGGTAGGCAGGCGAGAGAAGGAAGGCGCGAGAACGTGGGCGACGGGGACAAAGAGTGACCAACTATTTTTATCGTCGGTCGAATGTCAATAAAGGCACGAAATGCCCGGTAAATCCGTTTTGCCTGGAAGTTTTACGGGTCCTTGGGAACTGTTCTTTTTTCTCGCCTCGAAGAGCGGTGTGGCGACGATGACCGTGCGACGAGTGATTCCTCACGCCGTGAAATACGCCGACGCGGATTTATTTAATCAATTACGGCCCCCGGGGCTCTGAAGCACGGCACCTCGCTTTAGCGTCGTTGCCTGGGTGATTTAAAGCGTAATCGATTATCACTCGTAGGTTTTTGCCGAGCAGAGGACAAATTACGATTACGGGACGAATTATTTCTTTAACATCGTTATGCGATTGTAAAGATACTAATATATTAAAAAGTTTTCTCTCTAAGGAAATGCAAATTCCTTTGCGTCTTTTAAACAAGCGTAATAAAACAAATTAATTGGATCTTTTACAGAGTTAAATTTCTTCGTTGTCCATTTGACACGAGTGTATACATTCATTCGTCAATAAAGTGCGATATGAAGCGATATGAAGCAGACCGAAAATGAAGCGTACGGCGCACTCGATTCCGCCGATAAAAGCTCAGTCATGTCACTCAGTTGCAATCGCTCTTTGAGCAACTACCTCGGTCGAAAATATGAATAAATAGCCGTCGCCTGCAGTGCACGAAGTTTAATCAACGTGCGGGTAAATACGTGAATGCGACGTGCGCGCGAGCGCGTTCGTCGCGCCGGGCCTTTCCGTTTGTCAGATAACAAAAGTGCGGTTGTCGCATTGCGTTCTCGCGAAACTACATATAATTTATTTCGACTATGGCTGGTCGAACATTTTACTGTGACGCGCTGCTCTTCGCCGTTGAATGCAGGAGAGACATAAAAAAGCTTTAACGTTTCCGGACACACACACACACAGAGCTACGAGTGCGTTTTAATAACAGCAAAAATTGTGTACCTCGCTTGTGCAACGCGTGATTATGTAATGTCGCGCTCGTATATGCCTCCGAGAGGCTTTTTAAAATTTTATGAATACACGCAAATAAATCCAAATTAAAACGTTACTTGTTTGTTATAAATGTAGAACAAATTCTGTTAAAAAAATTAAAAATATATGTCATTTTGTGACTGATGCAAAACGCGTTCTCTCACCGCGCGCAATATTCCGCGTCTCGATTTGGCAGTCGGCTGCGAGCGGAATCGAGACCCGTAATATTTTTCCCGGTTGATGGATGTCGGATTCGTAAATTAGCTTTTGAAGAGGGACCAGGAAAAAAGGGAGATATAAGGGAACGAGACGTCGAATGTGTTAGCACGTAATCAGGACCAGATTTCTCCAAAGATATACGCTTTTTTATGCGTTTTGTTGTCGACAATTACTTTTTCGGGAGTGGGTGGCTCTACGGGATGTGATCGATCGGTTTCTTTGCCTTCGAATATCGCACATGGCTAGCGGATCGTCTTATTGGTTTGTCAGTTCGCGAATAGGTCGTCGATCACGATAAGCCATCTTGACCGATGAGGCGATTCAGTTATCACAATCTACATTTTTTCCGACACATTTCTACTCATTAGTAATATCATAATTATTAATGTTATTGGCATAATTATATTATTATTGGTTGTTTGATTAGCAGTTATTTATGCATCTTTTTATCATACTTATTGAATTATATATATTAGAGATTAAAAATTTATTTCTTTTCGTTAATATATATATCGACAATACTATCCCAAATATTCTGTCCTAGGCGTCTTTATTTACTTTTTCGAAAACGATGAATGATGCGTCGGTCGAAAATGAGTGTAGATTGATTTTTCTTTTGACGCATTATTTTTACATTTTAGTGGCGTTGACGGACAGCCAACTTCTGGAAGGAAAACAGTGCATTGTGCTTTCAGATAAAAGCCATCGGCTTGTGCCGGTCTACAATACGTTATAGAGACAGGAGTGGAGGATAGAGCCTAAAGCTACCGCTTTATTCTGCATATGCTTCCCATACAACGGGTTCACACGTTTATACACGGATGTCAATGTATACGAGTACGTGTCACTAGGAAGATAGGCGCGTATTGAAAGTATCGGAAATATTACGCCCTACTTGCGACAAGTTTGCACTGTCCCCTTTTTGATCATATCTTTTAAACGTCATCGTTGAAACGACCCTTTTGATAGACGGCGTTATCGCATTCGCGGAAATAAATATAATAAATCGAGTAGATCTCGCGAAAGCGAGAAGTAAAGTAGTTGTATTTCTTGTTCATGCATCATGCACTTGGGCTGTAAATACATTCGATTTTTTTGCACTATCGCTTTAGGTCGTTTACGACAGCGAAAAAATTGATACTCGCAATCTCGACGAGCACATCTGTCTCGCGCACAGGGCTATTTAATGGCCGACCACGTGAACCCGTAGCTAGTGGCGATCGTTAACGGTCTAGAGAAGAGGGTAGAGGGAGGCAAAAAACTGCATTGACGCGGTGATATCTGGCTCGGTTCGCTTCGTTGGATATACGGGGGAAGGTTTGGCAAACGAGAGAAGAAGCGTACACACATAAGACTTCTTCCGGTTGTTTACGACTGAAGTTGTTAAGTGTAACTTACATCAGAGTCTTTGTTTTTCCAGCGTGACGATCTGTATTCTCATCTACCAAATGCGATCCCAGAGTTTCACACAAAAACAGCTTGTTTTTATCGCTTAAGGATAAATGCCCAAAAGAATAAAAGAAAAGACAGAAGACAAAAGGAGAAGAGATAATATCTAAAACAAAAATCGTGCCTTACTGATTTAATTTACTTTTAAGAGTAAAACATGTTATATATATTCGAAAGCATGTTTTCAGAGAATTGATTTTAACGAAAAATATAGCTTCAACGCGTTTCCTTCGTTTCATTTCTTTGGTCATCGTAATGCGCTAGATCCAATCGTAGAAGTTATGGAGAATACTTATCTAACAATAAGTGTACTATATGCGAGTTGGGGGGGTCAGATATCGCTGTGATTTTACGACTGTTTTCGATAGTTCGGCGTGGCCTCGAAAATTTGTTACGAACTACCCTGTTTACTCCATTCCCAATGTGGAAAGATCCGCAATTTTGTGGCTATTCATACACGCAAACCACGTACAGTTTAGTCAACATCGCACGCGCAGTCTACTAACCATTTGGTAGTTGGTCAAACTACCACATGAATGATCACGGTTAGAAACTTGATTTTAAAGCTGTCGCGTCGTCATCTTCCGCGACTTCCGCAAGTAGATTCAAATCAGTGTCTTGTGGAAGCGCAGCGACGTGATATAATTTTACATAGTTATAATTTGTATATAGTTCGTTAAATAATAAGAACACTGCGTGCTTGGATTATTATATTTGTACAAAATTAAATTTAATAATTACTAGTTATTCTTATAGCAACGTACGAAGCTTGTTAACGAAGCAAAATTAAAACGTGGTAGCCCGACGAGCTCTAATTTTCATGGTTTTCTGCAAATGCAGATTTTTAACGACCGTCTTTTTCCTCCGCGAATTTTTATGGCTCGTGAATTTTAGAAGAGCTTGCAAATTGCATGTGTTACGTGCGCTCTGTTTCCAAATTCTCCATTCGGAGAGTGGATTTTCTACAAATGTGATGTAGTATGTACTAAACTTCATATATGATGATCGCCTTAGCTCCGGATAAACACAATTTTATCCTTAACTTCAAGAATCTAACCACGTACAGTTTGCCCGATGTCACGCGTCGCGACTGTCTGCTGTTATCCATTTGGTACCGATCCAAAATGCCACCGCAGCGCGAACCGCCATTCGGCTGACCATATTCGGACTTTTCTACTGGCAAGTTTCACTAATTCGGATTAACACGTTTTAATGACTCCGCTCGACAGAACACACGAAAACCGCAATAATTAAGCTACTTGCATGTAGATTTTATTTACATTGCTTATAATCTTACATTTACATTGTTTTAAATAATTTTTATTGCCATTAAAAAAAATTGCATTGCTTATCAGTTTTAGGAATTCGTTAATTTTTCGTATCTGCAATTAATTTGTTACTTTAGTTTACATTAAAGCGCATATCTTTCATGCTATTTCATCTATTCTTTTCGCGATAACTATTCATTACCAGTTTCTCTTTAAGATGACGACAGCAACATCCGTAAAATCTTTAGGGTCGTTATATGCCGCCGCCGGCAGACGAGAGCAAAGACGCGATCAGATGTCAAAGCTAGGACTTCCCAATAACTAACCGTGCGTCATTATCCACCAGACTTAAGGATCTTAATCATTTCTGATTTTCCTATTTCAAAGAGTTGACATTTCATTATGATATGCGCAAGACTACGTTCTTAATGGTCGAAACTTTGTTCATTTAAAGTAAAATATTATATATATATATATATGTTAGCAATATATAATAATTAAAGCAAATAGATCATTATTTATTTACAAACTTTTTACTAGGAATATGCATATGTAATTTTTTTTAACATTAATATTAAATACTTTATGAACGAGAATCTGATATCAGAAACGTATGACCACTGTTAGCAGGTTTGATTAACAACTTGAGTGTTCTGGAATTAATAAATAAAAAATGAAAGAGAGTCCCAGAGTGAGTTATTTCGTAAATAAGAAATGTGACCACAGTCAGTAGCGTGGACCGAGGTATCGGTGATCCTTGTACAAATTGTACGAATACCATTCGAATCGTACGATGGAATCGTCTGACGTGCGCCTATCGTACTTCATATTTCATGAGGATCGCGGACGTATCAACTATTCTGAGCAGGTTCGAAGTGTTTGCCACCGCGTCGATAAGGGCCCGTCGACGGAGGGATAGAAGAGCTCAAGGGCGTGTAACTGCAACATCTGTTGGCGGAGAGATCTCGAAGGCCTATCCAGCATAACGGTATCTCGCATCTGTTGTTCGGGAATTTCGGCGCTATTGCAAAATTTCTTCGGGGGAGAGTAGAACCTCGTAACGATTGCCATACAACCTAAAGACGCGTTCGTGGCGAGCCGTCAAGATCGCAAACTCATCGTGACTGGCGGCTTTCTTCTCCATTTATTTTTATTTTATGTATGTGAGAGTTTTCGAAACCAGAGTTTCAACGCGAATATTTTTATATCTGTCGAATGAAACGATAACCGTAACACAAATATGATCGGTTCAGCAATTCCGTTGAATATTTATCGAAACATTTCGCTTCAAGCGATACGTATGTTTCTTTCCACGCGTTTACCGTTCGCAAACTTTTTCCTCGTAAAACGACAGACTTTACAGTTGCCTACGTGCCGAGCAGCGACCTTATGACTGTGCCGTCATAAGGTGTCATCTTCCATTTAATAGCGTCTTGCCACTCAATGGAATCGCCATTGACTCCTTTCTCGAGCGCGTTTGACATGCCGGCTCCCTGAGGCCGTAAATTCGCCAGCGTCGTAAATCTCTGCGGCGGGTTCCACCCTCGATCTCCTTCGCTCGGCAATAAATACGAATCGCTGGGCGCGGGGGTTGCTCGGCTTCTTGGCTCGGCGTCACTCCGAGGAGCGTCCCGCTGCCGACGTCCGGCGATACGCAATACGTCCTGATTTTTGCGGGGAATTAAAATTTCCGTTCGCCGACGATACGGTGTGTACCCTCGCGACAGCGAACGGCTGCGAGATTTCCCGCCTGCATACGCCGTCCCTGCTCGGAGCCTCATTCGTGACCAGGAATTTCCCCGGAGACGCGTCTGCGGCGACGCCTCTCGCGTGTCTCCCGTCGAAGGAATATTTTTTGCCCTTCCCAGCTATTTCTCTTCTCTAACTTTCTAACGACGCGCGCAATCACCGTTCCCTTCTTCCCGCACTTCGAAACATCATTCAACGAAACTTCGGGGGGTCTTAAGGCAAACGCGCTACGAATTCGTATATGATGATCACAGGCGGAGGAGTTTACTCGTATCCTTGACGTTCCTGTGTACGATCCGGTACCGAATATCTCGACGGCTTTCCCCCATTTCCCGCGGGAGCATGCGGCGGTCGGAAAGCCCGCGAAGAAATTGATTGAGACGTATCTCCGTCAGAGACGGATATTAAAACAGTCTGAGGAGGAAGAGACAGGGAATAAGGATACGAGTGTCAGGACGAGAAATTACTCGTGGGGTGGGCGCTGTACAAAAGACGAGTTTGGTCGCGGGAGCAAGATTCCAGCAAAGACAGGGACAGAGAAAAACCGTTTACACCGTCTCGTGTCCCGGGGAAAAGGAAAAGGAAAATCAAGCGGATAAATCTGCCGGGCCGATCGCCAGATTGAATTTAATAATACAGACGCACGCAATCTCGTCGAGTAACGCTAGCCGTTCGGCGCCGTTAATGTTTAACCATTCCCGAAACGTGTGTTTCACAAAGAGGAATTGAATAGAAATGGCGCGTGAGAAATACCCACCGGCTTTCGGGTCCTTCTCTCACCGTAATTTGATGTGCGTGTAGAGGATGTTCCAGAACTGGTCGTTTCCACAAATTATATCACAAATTTAAAAACGGCTTTTTCTCAGCGAAAAGTTTGTCAAATATAATTACTTATTGTTTACAACAGCTTTTTATGGTACATGTTATTGCATTGAGATTTAAATTTTTGCGAAGGTATAATCTTTTAAAATTAATTATATAATGATTTCTTCGCCTGATAATTCCGTAACTGCAGATACTTCGCTGGTAATCTATTTGTTTCTTTTCCCGAGACATCGTAAATATCTGCATGTGTTTGCGTGTAGACGAAACCACTTTGGCGTGCCCTGCCCTTCGGGCACATTAAGCCGCAAAAGAGGCTAACTCGACGTTACACCTGTCAGAGCAATTTTGTTTTACCTGCGTCATGTACCGCGTCCGAGAAGTCAACCGCTAAGAGATTGCGCCAACAAATGAAATTAGCGTCCTACTATATTCAGGGGCGTTTCCTTGATACGGAGTGTCCTTCGTCGATCATTATCGTCCACGACGAACCCTCAACCCTGATATTATCAAAGCAAAAAATCATGCAACTAAAAAATTGGGCACGAACAAACGCTTCGTGGTAGAGTGCCCTGTCACTTTCATGAAAGATTTTTTAGAAAGCAATTTTATGTCTTACGTTTGTCAAATCATATACAAATACGCAAATCATGCTACTGTTTCGCTTAATTTTAATATTATTTAATATTATTATTACACAACACTTTGTCAGTTATTTTTATAATATATTAAGGGTTATTGTCGTTTATCGTTATTTATGATAAATAATTATTTGATGCTAAATATCAGTTTATTACATCCTAATCTAATCTAAATCATAGCAAAGGGTGTCATCCACAAAAAAATTGTTACCGGATTATCAATATTAATTTATCACTGAAGACAGTGACGAAATAATATCAATAAGCCCGTAACAATTTTTCATGGATGACGCAGCTTAATCCGCTCGTTATTGGGATAGATTTCGACGTATCCAAGTTCTGATTTGTAGCAATTATTAAGGGATCGTAAAGCCTGCGACGATAGATCGCCGAGACAACTCCGTATAGTCGGTATATCATCGGTGTTTACTGGCGGGAGTTCCACGATGCGTCTAACTGTCGGGTGACTCATTTCTAGGCGGCGGTCTGGCGCGCCCGAAGATGACTCTAAATCTGGATGCCGGTAGTAACACGGCGGGAACGAGCAGTGGGAATCTGAGTGGTCAATTGGTGCCGAAGAAACCCGGTGGCCTGAGCCTCGGCTTACCGCTGGAAATCAGCACCGCACGAATATCGGCCGATCTGGTTGACGTGGAGCTTCCGTTGGAGAGACAAGGGTAAGTGTTTTGTCGCCTTTTATTGTGCTACTTCAAAATAACTCTATATTTGCGCGAGTTTTCGAGGCCGTAGCGTTACCGCTAATGTACAGGTTTTACATGACTCGAATATCGCTAATGAGCTCGTTAACATTTTCAAAATTATGCGTTTTTATTCCCATTTACGCGCTCATACTTGTTCATCTTTAAATTTTCGGAAAATACATTCCGCGGAATGTTTTCGTTTGCTAGAATTTTGCGGATTAAAAGGCACGATATTTGAAGAGAAATTTTTTATTTAGATGGTATCACGGCTCTATCACACGCATCGAGGCGGAGGGTCTTCTGCGAGTTCACCAAGAAGGAAGTTATCTGGTGAGGAACAGCGAGTCGACCAAACAAGATTATTCTCTATCCCTAAAGTAAGTGGCACATAAATGAACATTTTCACGCATTCGATAATTTGCGATTGACCTAATATTCATCGAACATATTATGGATTCTCTCGAGTGTGAGTCATCTAACTGTGTCGATGTAATTGTTTCAGGAGCGCCCGCGGCTTCATGCATATGCGCATCCAGAAGAACGAAGAGCTGAATGCTTACATTCTGGGGCAGTTTAGCAAACCGTTCGAGAACATACCGGAAATGGTCCGTCATTTCAGCGTGAATCGTCTTCCGATACGCGGTGCCGAGCACATGTGTCTCCTGCATCCGGTCATAGTTCAGCTTTTGTAGCGCATCTATCGTAGCGCCATTTAAGGCGCTGAATAGCTCTTTTGATAATCCGTTTTCTTTTCCCCCGACGAATGCCGAAGCGCGCGCGATTGCAATGAACGATAAGTTTGATACCCGCGAACGAGATGTAGAAAGTATTATTCTCGAACGAGGAAGTCTTCCGAACGTTCGTGAGACGCGGTTGACTTCCGCGAGGATTCTCCGTATCAATTCGCATTCTGGTTGGATGAACCGTTCCGCACGAAGAGCGCCAGAGATAATGGACAATAATGGCATTGACGGGGAAATACCGCTTCGCCGTGAAATATTAGGGGGAGTACGAGTACAGTACAAAAATATAAACGGTGACTGAGCGAAGCTGCTCAACGATACACAGTGCGATCGATTAGATGAAAACGTCCGGGTCTGTGCAATTCCTTGCGAGAGGCCAGTTTTTAAGCTATGTGTGAAGAATCTCAGGTCGCTCCAAGTGGGGATACCTGCTCATGAACGTCGTCTTTTTGACAACACTTTATTTTCGCATGTCTTATAGCCGAGTCCAAGTTTTTATTACACAATAAAATTAGAAATCGGTAGGGACGGCGAGTGCTTATCCCATCCCTCTTTCTTTTCCTCTCGGACTCGAAAGCGTAAAGATCGGTGTCTAAATGCTTCGTCTTCCTCAAAACATCGCGCAAACCTACCTCATAGGCAAACGCATACATCGCGGCACGATATAGAAGCGGTACCAGAAATTACAGTAGTGAGAGTCAGGGGAACGAAATTACTTGAAACGGATATGAATTCGATGCAGTGATGACCATCAATAACTCTCAAAGAATAATGAATTCGGAATTGACGATTCTAGTAGGATACGCGAGAACGTTCTCGAGGATGTTTTTCCTGGTTGTTCCTTGAATCCGCGATTTATATGCGAATTCTACGAAAGAAATCTTTAAATGGGATCAGAAACGCTGTTTTACGAAATGGTATAATTTAAGTAAGAAGGAAAGGTGCGCGTATTTAAATTCACACAGAGTGCCGCGTGGAAGCAGCCCGACGTGGCGTGAGCTGAAAGCCAAAGTAAAACTAATCCTAATATCCAGTCGAGGGATAGAGCAGAACTAGTAGGCCGGATACGCGCAGCGAGCGCGAGTAAAATGCCAAACTTTACTTCTAATCGTAATCATTTAGTCAGGGTTTAGTTATCCGTCTCGTCGTTGATAAGTGATTAAATAGGCTTAGAACGATAAGCGAGCGTACGACAGTCAGTTGGCTCGAATATTGGGTGAGGCGAAGGTTCCGCGTAACTTCGTGAAATAATAAAAATTGCGAGTCGAAAAAAATAATAATGAATGTTTTCGCAAAACGACGCGACCGACAGGAAACGGTCGGAAACGCGAGAAAAGTGGAAAAAAAACGATAGTGATCGACAGCCTGAATCATCGGTGGCTCGTTATCCGAGTCATCCGTCTGAGAAACTAGACGGAGTCACTCGCGGAGGAAATTTTTGCGATAGGATGCAACCGATACATATTTTTTCATGTGATATTAATTTGTTACAGAGATAGCCTAGTTTCACCTGTGATCTGTTACTTAATTCCCCTTGTCCGCGTGCGCGTCGGCGTTCTCGCGCGATTGCACGCGATAATGATAATAAAATAAATTAAACTTGCTATTATTATTACGTAGAATCAGCAACGACGCGTCGCTCAGACGCGATGACGAGACGTCCGTGGTGTTACAATAATTTTTCGAGTTAGAAATTCGATTCGCAGAGGTTGTGAGCGAATTTTTGTTGGCCGAGCAAGCAAAAAACAGTTTGCTATTAAAGTAGTGACATAGGGAATCTACGGCGAGAAGTAGCGAGTGCCAGCACCGTGTTGTAAAAATTGTCATAGCCGAAAGCCTCGTTTGATCGTTTAAGCGTTTAATCGGTATACACGAAAAAGCAAATCATTAGTTTTCTAATTAAAAATATTTAAATTTTGCACTCGCAGGAATACTTGAATTATGAACGAGGCACTCTCTACTTTCGCGTCTAATTAGGTTGAGTGTAATTCATGCGTCGTACTGTAAGCTGCCAGTATTATTAACTGTAATCGATAATGCATATCCATATATGTTAATGTTTAAGACATTATATTGTCTCTATAGCCCGATCATTGAAACTATAATCTATATATATATTTATTTCTCCTATTATATTTATTGCATTGTATCGTTGAGTATGATGATAAGGATGAAGTTTCTGTGCGCCATTAATTTAATTGCGAGATCATAGAGCTGTATACCTATAGTAATTCTAGACTTCGTACACGTAGAGTAATATTATTTGTCGAAAGGCAGTACCGTAAATTATATGGTAGACTAACTTGTAGATACTTCCTGTACCTTGAAATTTGTATGAAGTAGGATTTAGATTACGTAATATATACATAAATATATATTATTATAAATGATTATACTAGCGCGCATAGTTCTCGTTTGTAGGATATACATAAATTAAGGTCTAGCGAAAGCGGGGTGAGTCCAATAAATATCTTAAGCGCTATGCACGCCCTTTACGTAAAAAGGGATGTCTCGGACGGCGATGTGCAATATTCTGACGCGGTCTTGTACGGCCGTAAACGTGAAGTGCGATCCAATATTTTTGTTTTAGTAAGCAAACCACCGATGTTCCAAATCGACTTCACTAGATAATCTTGTGTACTCTGGAAATTTCTCTTAATAATAAAATAGTTAATAACTCCAGTTTAGTCACGACAGTCGCAGTTTTACCATCTTTTCAATTTTAGATAACCCAAGAAAGTCTTTTACATGAGAATAGAAAATTTTGTGTAAAAATTTTTATAAGATTGTACAATGCGTATCGTTTCGAAAAAAACTATAAAAGCATTGATATCAATTGAATTATATCAGTTATATAAATTTTCTCTGTGCTATGTATATTTTCAAATTATTTAATTTATTCTATTTCTATCTCTTCGTCAGTTTTGTGTGAGGTAATCTCACTCTGAAGTCCAGCTGGAACAAGTGGCGGACGGTCACCATTTTCTTGTAGAGATGTCACTTGGTGCGTTTCTGTCTGTGCCGAATCAAACATTGTAATTTATTTAAATAAAATTGCATAAAGAGCTTAGATTTTAATATCTTAAACGTTATTTAAGTTTCATTAACACATGTAATATACCAATTTCTCTTCCGGTTCCGATACTTTCGGTTCTTTTGATTGTTTCCTTGAGTTTCGCTTTTCTGTAATTCGCGATAAGAGAATACGAAAGAGGTACGCAGATCGCGTAACAACAATAACAATTATAATAATTACATAAAGATATTTAATTATACATATGGTAACTTCTGTCAAATACGGTAAACTCGCTGAATGCAAAGTGTTGTATTATTCACTCACGGTTTCCAGCGCTATTTCGTCGGGATGTCAGAGATTTACGAGGCGCAGTCGAAGCACATTCCTGAGAGAATTGTGAAAGTGGAATGGTAAATTTCGCGAAATGAGTATGTGAATTACTTATGACAGCTAAATCATCTTGATATTCACCGAGGGTCCAGTTTCCTCGCTAATCTGGCTTTCCCAACAATCTAGCCCGCAGACGTCCTTACCCGGCATGCGCCGACTGCGATACATTTTACCGTCTTTCCCCCTTACCACCCCGTCCGTTAATTGTATCGCTTCCGGTCCCCATTGAGTAAGGAAATGTCCCGTTCGCATGACCCTTTGCTGAGGAGTCGTAATCGTATGACTCCCGCCGCAGTAACGATTGCAGAGATGATCTCTAGTGCATCAAACTTATTAAACTTAAGGAAATAACGTTTATCATTAAGCTATTTAAAAACTCTGGTGGCTATTAAGTTCACAGTTGTAATATTGAGAAAAAGCAAGAGAATTTTTTGCTTTAAAAAGAACATATTTCAATATTATTTCAAATATTGACATTTAAATATTAAATATTATTATTAATATTTATCAATATCAGCTTATAACATATTTATTCTTCGAGATGTAATATTTTCTCGAGATTCTATGGTCGGACGAAACAATATCGGTTACCTAGGAGTCCTCGCGAGCATCTCTTCCTTCGCTTTCATCTTTTTGATCTCCTCTTGCATTACTGCTTCAAATTGGATCATATTTCTGCTGTGAGGCAATTTTCTCTGTTGTTTTCTGACTTTGTCCAACTCGTACGTTAGATAAGGTTTCATGCTGGTAGTGCATGGTAACGGTTCAGCGCGAAATCTACTGAGCTCGTCTGTCTTCATTACAACATCCTTGTCGCACGATATACATTGAACGTCTCTAAATGAAAGAGATGGAAATCGACAGTCTCGTGTTGAAGTCTTATTTGCGAGCCTGAAATGTTTACCTAAGCAGCTTTTTCGTTCCTGCAGCCTCGATCTCCCGTCTCGCTTCAATCATAAACTTTAACTTTTCTTGAAGCGATTTTAATTTATTGTTCACGAAATCCTTCAGTGGCATCATCTCGACTTTATCCATCTTCGCGGCGATTTCATTCTGCACTTCATCAAGCGCTTGTTGCCAAATCGATTCTTGCTTCGTCAATTTGTCGATTGCTTCCTCGAGACCACGAGCGAGATCATCGCAGGCAGCATCAAATTGATCATGTGATACCTACAGTAATTTTGATAGTACTTTAATCTGCATCAATAATGAGTGTGTCAGCGAATTTGGTAATGCTTTATACCTTTCTGTTCACAGTTTGAGCATCGGCTTTGTCGGCCAAAGCATCTTCAAGATCCTCTTTGTTTGCTTTGACAGTTTTTAAAAGTTCTATTTGTTCCAGTAGTGTCTGTCAGTGTTATTATCAATTACGATAAATACGATAATTCAAATAAATTATATTATATTAAACACGAAGTAGCTGCTCTTACATAATCTAGACTTAAATACTATTTAAAAGATTAACAATGCTAATTAGTCTTATTTTATTATTTAAAGCTCGTACGCTAATGTGCGTTTCTTGTTTTTCCTTGTCATCGAGCAATCTGTCCATCGCTTGTCCGATTTTCTCCATATCCGTTTCAATTTCTTGCACTTTTGCAACAAGTTTGTTAATGCTGACTTCATCTGTCTTCTCGACTTCTTGCATACTATCCACTTTTTCTAACAAATTTCCAACTTCCGTCTCCAATACAACTACGCGTTGAGTAACATCAATCAAAGCTTTGTCATGTGTTGTTTCTACACTTTTTATAGCTTCCAGGCATTGTTCCAAGTTTACGACATCACTCACTTCGACTATTTTTTCTTCTTCTTTAATCGGTTCTCTAACAACAGGTTTTTCTTCTATCAATGGCACATCGACAGTCGTTGTTGGTATTTCTCTCTCTATGTTCAAAGATAATATGTGCATAATAAAATATAATAAAGATGAATATAAAAATTCTCAACGTACGTGCAACTCTTTTGTTAAGATCTTGCAAGTCTTGTTGTATACGAGCTACATCCGTTTTTAATGTAGTAACATCTTGACGTATTTTTGCTATAACAGCACCACCTAAATATATTTTTAAATATATATTTATATTAGTAATTTTCAATATATTTTCAAATTAAGATAGCAACTACATTACATATTTATAAACGTCTCAAGTAACAACGTCTTCAACATTGGACTAATTTTTATATTAATTAAATCATTAAGCTTGTTACTCAGAGGTGGTACTAGAGGAGCGAGCTTTTCAGGTGCTGTTTTGCGTATTTTATCAACTGCTACTTTAGAGACTTCATTTTCTTCTTTTTCACGGTGTGGTACTATCACATCGTTGGTTGTTATGATTTTTTCTGCTGCTTCTATTTCTTCTTTTTCTTCTACTGCTGCTACATCAATACCAGTAGTTGGCACGGGTATACCTTCGGTTAACATGTCAGTAATTGTTTGCAGATTGATAAGCCATTGCTCCATTTTGGAGACTTTATCTTCGAGTTCATCCAATCTCGCGTTAATCAAAGATGTGTCTGCTATGACAGTATCGCCTTTGATTACATCTTGTATCATTGCCGTGAGCTGTACCAATAATTTAATAAGTTAATAAAATTAAGTTTAATATTTTAACGTTTTAAGAATTCTTAACTTTCATTATATTTTTTTATTAAACTATTAGCGGTGCGAAGTGTAAATATCACCCGCGAAAAGTTTACGAGATTAGTAAGCAGTATACCTTATCGATACCTTGTTCGTTAGCTTCCAATCTCTTATTAATGTTAATAAATTGCCACACATCCGCGGCGGGATCTGTGATTTTTTCCTTTAAACTTTCGACTACTTCTGGAGACGTAGACAAGTCCTCCAAAGCTTGATACCGTTGCTGCAGCTGTTTTACCTGTTCATTAAAGTATTACTGAATAAATTACATTGTCATCGTACATAATGTTAATTCTAAAAATAATTTGTCCTACGCACAGATTGTTTAAGCTCTTCGAACGCCAATGCTGTAGGAGGAGAGCCATTTACGACAGTTACGACCGTCGGAGCTTCGGGGACTTTCTCAAGATCTATTTGTGGCCTCACATCATTCGTCACTTTCAAAATTTCCTCTGCAGGCGGTTGAATATCTGAATCAAGTTAAATCTATTTTGTTATATAGCATAATTTATAATTAATTAAATATAACTGAAAATAAACAACAAAAATCACGAGTTTATACCGTCTGTAAGTACATCGGCATCTGCGCCATCGTCTCTTCGAATTCGTTGTACTTCGCCGGTAGCATCGGTAATATCATACTCGTGAAGCTGAGGTGAAGCCCGAGCAGGGCTCGGCTTCAAGGATGTTACCATCCTCTGCAATAGCTCTCACGTGAATATAAGAAAAAGAATTGCCACTTTCCTTTTTTTTCCAATTACTCGAAATATTATTTTTCTTACTTTAATGCGATCCGCGTTTTCACCACGGAATTCAACTTTGGTAGCCTGCAAATTTATTTGATGCAACAAGATATGGAGGAAACTATGAAGAATATTAAAATTAACCGCGCCAACCTGAAATCAATAACTTTATTAATTGCTTTATCTATATAATGTAAATGATGGATAATTGCTATTGTTTTACCTCCGGTGCTCCAAGAGCAAGATCGAGCATTTGAGGAAGAGAAATTTGCAGGCTAACAACATCGATGCTGTTGTTAGCTGCTGTTGGTGCTTCCGGCATTTGGGCAGTTCTCGCAGCCATTTTGTATAATATTAATTTTTTTCAGAAATTACATGAGAATCATAATTACATTTAACTTCTTGTTCATTAAACACAAGTGCGGTTATTGTGAAAGATATTGACTGAACTGTCAATTTTGAAAATTAATTGCCTTCCGTTCCTATATTCATCCCTTATCCGGTAGATTAAGGGAGGTGAAGTTGTGTCTATATCTCCACAGTTGGCGCCACAAATATGGTCGACAAGTAGCGTGCCCCTATGGAAGATATTTGTATCAGTAGTTCTTTTTATTCATTAAAAGTTTCAAAGAATCTCTTTATTATTTTTTTACTTACTTTTATGCAAATAAAATAACACTTTTAAAATTTAATTAAATATCACTACTGTCTTTGTTATTTGCTTAAGAAATAAGTATTCAAATAACACGTTATTTAATCATTATTAATTTTAATCCATATTTTATATATTATACGTATACGCATAGATATATAATGATTTGGAATAGTGTGTCCATAATATTATCATCAAACAAAATAATTTTTTAAACAACACAATATTTTGTGAAAATATTATAAAACAATAAATAAAATATACTTAGTGCGCAATCTAGGCATATTTTTCAATCATCTCCGTTGATCAAATACCATCGATACGACGGGTTAATGAAACAGTAATTCAGTGCGCGTCGTTTCTCCACAAACAGGCTCGGTTTATCTAACTGCACGTGGCCGATAGACCGAAATGTGAAATAGAATCAAGCTAGGCTACACTACCGCAGAGATTACATCGAATCGTATATATTTTATCGAGTTTCCGGATATGATATTCTCGAATGTTTCCGTTAGACTATCCATAGATACGATCAATGTCAGCTCGATCGTGTATTTATACGCTCGCATATCAATCTTGCGACGATGATGAATCTTTCCGTATCGAGGAGATAAATTAAAATTGTCATACTTCCCTAATCGGTTCGTACATGAACCAGAGACAGTGCAAATAAGTCATTTCAGACTAAAGATAGAAACTAATAAAATTAAATGACCTCGAATATATTTATAGTTTCGACTATAAATATTTTTCCACTCTGAAGAACTTGGCCTGCAGCGTGCAAAGTAATCTTAAAACAGTTAAGCTAAATTCTAGAAAAATCTATTTTCAAAGACAGATCTATTTCTCCTTCACGTTCCTTTATCATCGAGATATTTGGTGAAATATGGAGAAGATTCTGTATATCTCAAATATCGTTCTATAAGCGAATGATTCAGCAGCAGTGATTACACTGTATATATAGCTGCGGTTTCAAATTACCTATGATAAAGCCGGCATTGACGATGTTTGAGTTACATTGTTTGATCGTCAGGTGAATGTTTAATCGTGAGTAATGTCAGCATTCTTGATGGCTGGACATCTCTCGGTATTCGATAGCAGGCGGTAACGTCGTTCTTATGATTTACTCGTTCGTCAGGTGAGCGACAGCCCCCTTTCCGTCTTCTTTCGCGATTTCCCCGGCCACCTTGTCAGTGCGGCGGCAGTCGCAGTTCTGAAATGATGTATACGTCGAAGGGAAGGTACGCTATGGTGACGGTGAGTGTGAACAATTCAATTTTAAGACGCCGTTTTATATTCGCCGTTATTAGTTTGTTACATCGCTCCTCAAATATTGACGTATGTCTGTTCGTCAGTTCGTGGCAGATTTAATTTCGGCTTTTATCCTGTGTGTAACTAGCGTCGTAGACTGTCAGTTGGAGTATAATATATATTTGAGTTAGAGAGAAGTCCATTTCCACACGCAGAATCCGAATCGATTCCACGCGTTCCAAGATTGTCTCCCGATTGTTTCGGCACGAAACGCGCCCGGACATGCGCACGCATTTAAAATGCATCGAACAATAATTTCATAGCCCTGAACGAATCCGAAATGTTGTAGTCTAGCTTAAACGAACTCTCCAATGCTTCGTATTATAAATTATTCACCGAGCAAACATCCGGTATTTTAACTTGAATCTCTTTTCAGTTTCTTCTTTTTACTCTGGGTCACGGCAATCCATTTCGGCAGCGATACAATCCTGCGATATCGCCACTTTTGTGGCATCTCGTGCCACCTTGGGAGTACATGCTACGCGAGATTATCCTGAAATCGGTCACCCCGTCGCCGTCGGATGCCAATGTGCCCCATAAGCGCCCGTTGGATGCTTCCTACTACGGCGGGCCGATCGCCGCGTACTCGAACGACGACGAGAATGTCATTCTATCGCGCGGTAACGTTTATCGTCTGCTAAACGGCCACTGGATGCTATGCCAGGACGGCTGCATCGACTGCGAGCCATGCGCAGTTCAGGAGAGTCCCTTATTCACGTGGATTCTGCAGAGGATCAAGCAACCGCCAAATTCCGAGGAAACGCGACATGATCTCCAGCTGACGATAATGCCGCAAGCGGACGATCACTTCCACGCCAGCAATCTCTGGCCGAATTATTACGTTTACGTGACACCACAGGGGGAACGAGCGCCGACCCCGACGATTAGAACGCAGCACGACAACGGTCCGGAAAGTTCCCTGCCTAGTCTCGAAAATAGTTTCTCTGAGCATCATCATCGATCAAAGGATCTCTGGCGGTTGACGGAACGAGACTCGAACGCTGACTGGGACGGGACGCCGCAAAAGGATAACCGCGCTACTGTTCAGGAGAATGTGAGCACCGAAAAGATCGAGAAAGAAGAATCGATCGAGCTGAAGCATGGACTTAGGAATATGAGACCACGACATCGACCGAGACCCGTGGAAAAAGTCGCGGAAGAAGCGAATCAATTGGCACCGAGGTTGATCCTGGGAACCGATCAAAAAGGTCAGAAGCACTTGGTTCACGTGGTGCCGGCGGATTATCCGACGACCACTATGTCGCCCGCGATTTCTCTTCCTCCGGATTACCCGACGTCGTCGCAGTTTGTGGAAAGTCAGACGACACACTCAAACAATTCGATCCCCGAACGCGAAAGGCAAACTTATCAACGGATATTTCACAGAGTTTTCGACTCCTTGAACACGCACAGACGATCTATCGAAAATTTCCTCGAGTCACCGGACAACGCAGATGGCCATCGACTATCTTCCTCGATGGACAATATGGAAGTCGCTGGATTTTCTTGGAATAATCGCGATATAAATCATAAGAACGCTAATTTTAACTCGTTGCATCTTAATGATGCGCTGCTCTCGTCTTTTTATGGAAATGAAGGTAGAACAAAAAAAAATCAGCAATATAGAAACAGGTATGATTACGATTATACGAGGCAGAACAATGATTATTACACAGCACATCAAGATGTGAATCAAGCTAAGATGTCGCGTCGTCAGTCGCAAAAGGGTTTTAATTTGAACTTTGACAGACAACGGCGAAGAGTACGTATCAAGCCATATTTTGTTAACAATAAAAATATTTCAAAGATAAATTCATCGGTATCGTCGCCAAGTTTGGACAATTATTCGGTAAATGCTATTCAGAAATCTGGTTCTAGTAATGGTTTTGTTATAAATCCCGCGAAACAAATTGATCTAAATGACGCGTTTGTTGAGAAAGCAAGTAACAATTCCATGGAATCGAGTTCGGTAACAATAAAACGCGAGAACGGACAATTGTTCGAGTTAGAAAGGCAGCGAAGTGGCGATGTTAATCGAGAATTCGAGGCTTCGCACCATGCTTTCAGAGTAATTGTTACTACCGAGTCGCCGGTAATTCGAAGCGAACACGAAACTTTAAATCGCACTACGGTATTACAAATAACTACTTCAAAGACATTCGCTAATAGTTCGTAATCAGTAGTCAGAAAGAAAGACTAATTGCGACAGAGATGAAAGTTATATACATAACTATAATGATCGTAATTATACGTTTATATAATTGTAGACTAGTTTGCATGCTACTGATTATGTATAATATTAAAATATATCACGTTTATATTCTCTCATAAATAAAAATACATCAATACATTATTTTAAAGCTTATTACTTCAAGGTAATTTAATTTTTTATCAAAGATTAATTAGAAGCTCATTAAAATATGCAGTTATATGAGAATGTAAGAACAAAATGTATATTTAAAAAATGTAATAAGACGCGATATTTTTGTTACAAATTTTGCAAAATTATGATTTTGTGTTAAAAATGAATGCGTAATGTACATCAGAATTAGTTGGCAGAGCATGTTATTGTAATTTAGAGGCACATGTGCCCCCATCCTATAAACATAGATATGGCTGAAACTCGCGAGAGAATCGAAGGATGCGTGCGAGGGGAAGAAGATGGGTGCTCGGTTTGGGAAACAGGGATAGGCTGACGCTTATATTATTAATTAAAGAGGATGCGGGTTCAAGCGTGGGGAAGGAGATCGGATGAAGCAGGTAGTGCCGGGCTGCGAAGAGGGGCGAGGGAGCGAGCCTGTGTTTCTTGTCTAATTATCTATCCTCCCGTCCTGGCCGACCTGCCATGTTCACTTTCTACGTCTAGTAGTTACTTCCATCAACCCATCCTCTATCTCTTTCTCTTTCTTTCTCTCTCTACAGTTGCTTTTCCTTCTTGACTGCGTGTTCTTCTTTGCGTCCATTTGCTCTCTTCTCTCCATTAGCATCTCAGTAGAGACCATGAAAGACAGACAGCCCTGGGCAACTTCTCTATGCGTTCTTAATTTTAATTTATCTATTCGCCTATGCTGATAAATGAGCAAGTCGCCCCGAGGATCGACGGGCTTCCGAAAGTTTTTAATTAGATCGCCGCTTCTTCCTTCCTTGATGATCAACCGCTCTGATGTGATCAAAAATAAGATTCGCCCCGAGCGGTATCTATATAGGTGACGTCGAAACCTCGTCGTTCTTTCAAGATTCTTTCTAATCACCTTTCTACGCTGTCTTTCTCTGACGTCTGTTGCTTATCCTTCAGCGATCCCTCACTCGATTTTCAGTTTTATCCTTCGGTTTGCCGCAGTCGAATGGTGCAAAACGATCGACTCGATCCCTGGCAGATT